AAAAAAATATAGCATGTAACACCCCAAAAAGTAGAGGAGAAAAGAGTAAGGTTGAACCACACTCAATTGAAGCAGAGGTTGGACAGGTGAGGAGGGTGAGGTGTGATTTTTATCACTGGTCCTGCTTGAAAATGACAGGTATCAGCAAGCCCCTAGACAGCTTGCCAAGTACCACATCAGCTGATCCTTTGAACTTAGAATATGGACTAAGTGATGCCGTAGAACTGAGTTGCTAATCCATCATTGTCAATTCCAGGAAATCAGAAATAACGTACACTACCATTCTTCAGAATTAATTGGGAAGAGAGAGAATTCACTGGGGAACAATTTTTTTTTTTTTTTTTTTTGTGGGAAGGGGGGTTAGTCTTAATACAGGTGGATCTTATATGAAGTGAGGGCTGTAAGCCACTCTTTATTAGTTGCAACTTTCATATTTTGTTTGGTAAAAGTGTGGAGACTGATATTTTTTAATTGAAAAGCATTTCATATTATGATGATATATAAGATCAGGCCACTCTATTTTCTGTATGACACATCTTATAAATTTTATTCCTGTATATAAGTCCAAATATCCTGTAATGTAAACCATCAACATTTGTTTCGGTATGTTTCAATATTATTTTCCTTAAAATAAATAAATGTTGGCCTTCTAAGAATTTGTTTGTATCTTATGTGTTACTATTTTAAAATGTGGATTCTTTAAATGTCAGCAAATACGTAACAGGGCCAAAGAGAGTAAGAAAGTTATTATTTCTTTTAAAGGTTTTATTTATTTATTTGCGAGAGAGAGAGCACAAGCAGGGGAAGTGTCAGGCAGAGGGAGAGGGAGAAGCAGGCCTCCCAATTAGCAGGGAGCCGGATACGAGGCTCGATCCCAGGACCCTGAGAGCATGACCTGAGCCAAAGACAGATGCTTAACCGACTGAGTCACACAGGTGCCCCAGAAAGTTATTTTCCACAAAAATTTTAGTCTTTAAATATAATGTTGTTTTCTTAGGAAAATTTCTAATTATCATTTAATAAATATATAATAATACATTTAGTGAAATGAACTTACTAAAATGTCCTTTCATATTTATTTGTTTTTGTACACAGGTGACATTAATTGATTAGATAATGAAAAGCTACCTTGTAATTTAAGGGTCTAATCAAAGTAATTAGAGCTCTGAGTGATTCAATTATTTTATTTGATTAATTTGATGCATTATAATGTTTTTATTTAGAGAAGTCAAAAAGCATGTGTGAAACTCTGAGTGAGACAAAGGATATCAAAAAGTAAAACACAGCTTTCAGAGATGTGAGATACTAAAATATCTTAAATCTGAATATTACATTAGAATTTTCCAAACTTTCTAATATTATATTGAATTATATAAAGAATGAGGATTGTTTGTGGGTGATCTTTTAATTTCTTCTTTGTAAGCTGAAGTTCTCTTGTATGTTTGCCAACTTTCTTATTTGTCCTTATAAATAATAATTGTTTTTTGATCATGTTCAGTGTGAGAAAATTTTCTCTACACATGAAGACTTATGTTAAGAAACATATCTGGTTAATTTTAAACTTAAGAAATATATTGTCATATGTTGTTTGCCTTAGATTAGTTCATTAATTTTAAGCTCCTGATTTCCTGAATTATATCTGTCACATTGCTATGTATTTGATGATTAAATAAACATTAGCAACATCCTTTTAAAAACTCTTAATTTCACAATTTATGTGAAGTTTTGATGTCCCCGCAGAGCCTTGGGCTAATTTAGTGAATGAATGATTTATTTACTTATTTCTGGTATCCAGGCCTTGACATCTTTGCTTCTCCTTTGATTATGTGCTTCAGTAAAAAACAAGACAAAAAAACCCCCCAAATCCTGCCTTGTTATAATTAAAGTAAGTTAAATTTTGGTCTGACTATATGAAATATTATTCTTTGATTAAAGATAGATAGTATATGGCACAAAAATAGACACAGTTCAATAGAAACATGGACGCCCATGTTTATTGCAGCATTATTTACAACAGCGAAGCTATGGAAGCTACCCAACTGTGCATCCATAGAAGAATGGGTAAAGAAGATGTGATATATGGAAATGGAATATTACTCAGTCATAAAAAAGAATGAAATCTTACCATTGGCAAACAACATGGATGGATCCAAAAGGTATAATGCTAAGTGAAATAAGTCAGAGAAAGATAAATACTGTATGATTCACTCATATGTGGAATTTAAGAAACAAAGAGGAAAAAGAGACAAAGAAAATACAGACTCTTATATATAGAGAACAAACTCACGGTTGCCAGAAGGGCGGTGGGGGGGGGAGGGTGAAATAGGTGATGCGGATTAAAGAGTACACTTACTGTGATGAGCACCAAGTAATGTATAGAACTGCTGAATCACTCACTATATTGTACACCTGAAACTAATGTAACACTGTATGTTAATTATACTTGAATAATAAAAAAAAAGGTAGTACACAGAATTTTTCTTCCTCAAAATAATTATCTGATCAAGTCCTGCTAACCAATGTATTTTGTTATCATGTAAAAATGGTTATATTCTTGCATTCCTTTATTATTGGAAATAATAAAGTCTTTAAGTACTTTACCCATCAAGAATCTGGAAGAACTACTCAGCTTATATTAAATGGCAACTAAATCTTTATATTCCCCAAGCTAGCACAGACAGAGTATCAACAAGGCAGACAGAGATAACTCTGTGAGTATATGGAACAAGATAAAAATAAGGTCATTACATAACCACAGAGATGCCCAAATATCTCCTTCTTTTGTCTGATGTGAATGATGTTTGCTTTGTTACCAATGACCTTGCTAGACCCACTTTATTCCTTCAGCATCCTAGATAAATATTATTAAAATTTATACATTAATAATATAGTAATAATTAATCACATGATACTAATTTTATATTATATAATACATATAATATATATTATATACTAGTAACACATTTTTATATAGTGTACATTATATATAGAATATAATATGCATTAAAATATATAATAAACATAATTTTATTTATATAATCATACATTTATTTATATTATATAGTTGTATTTATAATTTGTTTATATGTATTAATATAATTAATTCTATAACACATAATTGATTGCATTAACATTTGTGTTATTATTACTGTAACACTGCTTCTCATTTTTGACAGCTCTAGCCCAGGACTGGCCCCTGCTTCCCTAAACCACTCTGCTTAGAATTATCCAGCATAGGCCCAAATTTCCTATGAATGCCGTTCCAAGTCCCTCTTACTGAGATGCCCCAAAGTTGCTCTGGATTGTGTTCACCCTTGCTGTACCTAAATACATAAATATGACTTTGGTTAGGTGTTCATTTATGGTTTTTACTACAGGCATAATATAATTCAGCCAGAGTCTGAAGATGAGCATGTCTTGAACATATTTTTACTCCTGTGTAACCCTAGGCAAGCATTTCTAGCACCACTGTGATCTTAGAGTCCTCATCTATAACGTAAAAGTACAATGTCCACTGTTTCATTTCTGTTGTTTTGAGGATCAAATGAGGAGATAATTTTTTTTACACAATATAAAATGATATTCAAATTTTAGTTGCTAATGCTGTCATATTCCATTGTCCTATTATTTAGGCAAAATTCCCTTTCTGTTTATCCATTGCCTACTGAGCTCTGGCCCTTTGCACTAGCTTTCTCTGGATGAAAATACTACCTTCTGCACTGCCACCTAGTGATTAGTCTGATTGCTTAATATCAACGCTGTATTAATTAAAGAGGCAGTGTTCCAAAATAAATTGCTGTGGTTTCTATAGATACCTCCATGATTTCTGTGGTTGATATTTTTTGGTTGACTCCACTGACCCTGATTTTAAATAGCTTATATGAAGCAGAGTATAACCAGCAAGTTCTCTAATATGTGTTATGTTTCCTGAATATAGTTTTATTCTTAACTAGGTGCAGTACCCAAACATATCAGACTTCTATAGTCATAATTCCTAAGCAAAAGCAGGATTCCATTTCAGACCTAATAAATCAAAACTCTAGGACTAGAACCCAATAACCTGCATGTTTTAGAAATACCCCGCTTCCTAACCATGCTAAAGAGAGAGATTTTGGTTGAAGGTACAGAAAGCTATGCTCTTGACAAATTTTATCTGCATCTTAAATTCTAAAAAGAGTTTCACCTGTGGCATAAAACCTTGCCTATCAAATCACAGAAGGAAAAAAAATCCATGAACTAAAACCATTAACAAATAACCTAAACATTTGTTTTAAATTTTCCAAGAATATCATAGTATTTCATTTTATTTATTTTTCTTCCAAGATTTTATTTAAATTCAACTTAGTTCACATATAGTGTACTGTTGGTTTCAGGAGTAGAATGTAGTGATTCATCAGTTACATACAACACCCAGTGCTCATCACGAGTGCCCTCTTCAATGCCCATCCCCCATCTAGCCCACTCCCCACCCACGTCCCTCCAGCGACCCTCAGTTTGTTCTCTATAGCTAAGAGTCTGGTTTGCTTCCCTCTCTGTTTTTATCTTATTTTATTTTTCTTTCCTATCCCCTATGTTCATCTGTTTTGTTTCTTAAATTCCACGTAAGAGTGAAATCACATGGGGTGTTTGTCTTTCTCTGCCTGACTTATTTCACCTAGTGTAATACACTCTAGTTCCATCCACATCGTTGCAAAAATACCATAGTATTTCAAAGTAAAAAGGGTCATGAAGAAAAGTGAAGCATTCACTTACTCCAGAAAAAAAGGTGATGTAAAAAAAATTATTCAGTTGTAATTTATGAGATTGGAAATAGATTGATTACAAAAATGGCCCAGCTTCCCTAACGCTCTTTGCATCCTTGTACTTTGTACATTTTTTTTGCTCCCCCAAAAAAGTGTTACAAAAAGTCTTTTAGTTGTAATTTTTAACATGTATAACATATGGTAGACTGATTGCAAAAGTTTTCCGATTCTCTAATTCACCCTCACTTCTGAACTAAGGTATCAAGAGGCTTTTCATGTTTCTGCTGCCTCTGGGATCTCTGCCAAACGAGAAGCTGGAGGAAGAGAGCCCAGACTCAGGAGAAGGTGGGGTCGTCCTTGCTTATCCATCCCCCAGCTGACCTGCAAACACATGGAAAAGCCCACAAACATCCACAGATTTAGCCCAGTCTACAACGGCCAGCTGACCTTCAGACTCGTGAGTAATGATTATGCTTATGGCTGAATACCACTGAGTTTTCAGGGGGTATATTACACAGCAATAGCTAGTTAATACATTTATATTAAAATTTAGAAGTCTTTTCATATATAACCAAGATAGCTCATTGGAACAACAGCTGGTATTAAAATTAAGAGTTTGGCTTATATACAAAATAACTCTCAGCATATAAATAAAGTAATACTGTTGGGCCTTCAGAGAAGAAAAGTAAATAAACAAATAGATAAGTAGCTGAGGATGAGTATTTCTCAGACATTCTCTATCAGCCCTACTATGGTTTATACCAGCTTTAAAATTGTTATCATTAATATAGAACAGGAATCAGAAAGCTTTTTCTGTAATGGGCCAGATGGGAAATATTTTAGGTTTTTGGGCATCCAGTCTTTATCACAACTACTCAAACTTGCCATTTTAGCACAAAAGAAGTCGTAAGCAAACATTAGTGAATGGGTATGGATGCGTTCCAGTAAAAATTAATTTACCAAAACAAGAGCAGGCCTGACATCAGAGTTAATCTCTTTTTTACTGCTTACAGTTAGGAAATCTATGTGTAGTAAAATTGTTGAGACCATCTGAGGACTTGGCAAATAATATGGAACCTTGGGAATCACTGTGTATGAAACCCAGAATTTAAATATTCTTTTGTGGCTTAGGATGCATGTTTTCTAGATTTTTCCTGAGTACAGTTTTGCTTTATTTTTCTGTTTTGTTAGCATTTTAATTTGTCTTAAATCCAGTTTACTACTGTAATTGCAAAATATATTTATTATCTAGTGGACAAAAGAACAGTTATTTACCAATATTTCTCAGTGTTCATGCACGACCTAATTTAGTAACAAGCAAAGTAGATCTTTTATAAAATGTTATTTCTTCATCCTGTAATCACCCAAATAAGTTATTTCATGGATATTGCCACTTCAGCATTAAATATTGACCCAAATGTTGATCTCTCATATATTTAAATTAAAAAAATAGGTTGTGACAGAGGATTAGAGCATGTATTTTTATTACATGTCAATTATTATATTTTCTTATTTGAAAATATTGTCATCATTAAGAAAATAATAAAACAAAATTAATATATTTTCCTTTGCCTTAGCCATTTGGACACTATTAGCATATCTTGTAACTCAGAAGACACATTTCTAAAAGCTTTGCATTCTGATATAGTAAGTCACAAGTAACAAGAGAGTTTTCTGGAAGTCTGAGTAACGGGAGCATCCTAAAAGCTGTGCATTTTGAAATATACCACGATAAAACCGTTTGGTTTTTAATGACAGCAGCATTATCCAGTCAAAAATTTCAATTGCCATACAACAATTTGTATTATAGATAATGCCTTCCTTTTCTATTCTGGAAGCTAGTTGTTCTTTAAATTGGACTCACTCTTATCCCTTGTTATTGCAAGTAGAAATTTAACATATTGTTATTAAATTCTTTTTTTTTTCTTCTTCTTCTTACAGGAAACTTGGAGGTCCCACCAAGATCAGCCACATGGAATTCACTTACTAGATATGACTAAATACTCTTTGGGTGTAATAACACAGAGGTACCTGCTCTCCACTGACAGCAGGAATTAGTACGCAGAATTTAAGCTCCATTGATCCAGAGTGATACCTGGCTTGATCGAGCAGTTTATTAATTGCCTTCCCTTCCCTCTTTTGTTGGCTCACAGTCTTGGGAGTTCCCAGGAGAAATCTGAAGCCGCCCAGTACACAGAGGTCAGGGAGACAGGGAAGACAGAGGGAGGCCACTCCGGACTAGTAGGTGGCAGGTCGAACAGGCAAGGGAATTTACTTACGCGGCTTGCGTGCGTTCGCGGTAAGACAAGTCGATCTCTGCAGCCACCAGCCAGAATCTTAAAAATTTATACAGAAGCTTGACCAGAGTTCAGTCTCATGCAGCATGTCGGGGAGCAGACGTGACCACAGAGCAAGCTGGAGGCTCCTCTCCCCACCCGCATCTCTGCGACGTGGGTTCTGCTCGCCTTTCCTGCTCTCACACTGCTCGGAGAACGCAGCCTTGAGGGTGGTGATGTGGTGTGGAGAACACCTGCTCGGTAGACGCGTGGCACCCGGGAAACCCTTAAACTTTTAAGAGTGGGCGGGCAGGTGTGTGGGTCTGGTGGTCTCGCTGCTCCACGCCCCCAAGGCAAGCTCATTTGTACGTTTCCTTTGCTTGTGAACACTGCCCGCTCCCACCTTGGAGTGGCCCGCCTCTTTGCTCTGGTCTCTCCTCCCCCGGCCCACGGAGGATTTCTCCCGGAAGGCTCAGGAGAGAGTTTTGAGAGAGGTCCCAACCGCGCGCTGCTCTCTCCAGGCTGCATCCTTGAAGAGGGCGCCCGCGGTGGGAGCAGCGCGCAGGGGGACCTTCCGAGGCCCGGAGCGGGCGAGGAGCCCCCGACTGTCCGGACCCAGCGCGTGGGTCAGCCGGTGGTCACGGCCCCTCGATGACCGCCGCCGCCGTGCAGCCCTCCTTCTCCGTCTGCTCCTCTTTTCCTCCACCTGCCGAGTAAGAGGCTTGGCCTTGCGTCTCCATCTGGGCAGCGGCCTTGCGAGGAATTCAGTCGCCAGGTGCAACTGGTAAGTGTTCCCTCTCGGACAGTCCTTTCATCAACGGCGACTGTGTTCCTCCGAGATAACAAAAGATAATGTAGTTTCCAACGTTGTGGATTGTTTTAAACTGTTAAACTTTACTTATTTGGTACTTTCTAAGGGAGGTTGAAATCGATAGAGGAAACCAGAGTAATTAGTCCCGAAGCAGTGTTTTGCTTATTTTTTCTTGTCTATATAAAAACAGTAAATTGTGAATAAGATGGTGAATTCATTGTGGTATATGAGATACTCATAATACGCTTAAAATTACTATACTAAAGCTAATGGCATGGTTTTTTTTTTTTTTTAAGATTCTATTTATTTATTTGAGAGAGAGAGATCCGAGAGCACAAATGGGGGGAGGGGCAGAAGGAGAGGGAGAAGCAGGCTCCCTGCTGAGCAGTAACCCTGTGGGCGCTGGATCCTAGGACTGAGATCATGACCCAAGCTGAAGGCAGACGCTTAGGTGATTGAGCCACCCAGGCGCGCCCGCTAATGCTGTATCTTATTACATGCGTATTTATGTATTTTAAGAACGTGCATATGTATATTGTCTTTATTAATCAAAGTAACTTATAAATAAGGGAGAGGAATCAAACACTAACTTGGAAGAAAATTGTTCTGAAACACCACAGCAAATATCAGTGTGTCCTGCCCAGAAAACAGATGTTCTCAGCAGAAAACTCTCATTTCCTGAGAACCTGTTAACTTATGGTGCCTTTGATGTTAATTTTATCATGCTCTTGAATGGCTTTTAACAAAAGTTCTGACTTCTACGAAAAATAAAATTCGTAATGGTTGGTTTTCTTCATTTAAAGAGTATTGTCTAACAGATTAACTGTATAAACGAGGTGGCAACTGTTTCTTGTCCTGAGGTACCTATGGCTTATACTCATTTACTGATGTAATAATAAGTCTTCTCTGATAATTATTTTTTGGTATTGTCTTCTAAAATCAGGCCCCAAATTAAAAGTAGCTGTGGGGAGCACCAAAGGCTCACTCTAGTGATTTGTAATGCGAGGCATTAACATGTAATGTAAGGAATAGTAAAATAAGTAGGTCAGAAAAACATTTATATCTTCTATTTTATTTTATTTTTTAAAAAGATTTTATTTATGTATTTGAGAGAGAGACAGAGAGCACGAGTAAGGGGAGGGGCAGAGGGAGAGGGAGAAGCAGATTGAATGGGGAACCCAAAGCTGGGGTCGATCCCAGGACCCTGAGATCATGAGCTGAGCCCAAGTCAGACACTTAACTGATTGAGCCACTCTATATTTTTAAATAGCCCAATAAGGCAATGAAAAATATTTTTATCAAGACCATAATTTTAATACAAACATGTCATATATATTATGTTTGCAATTGATATAAATATATTCTAATCACAAATCATGTGGAAACTCTAGCACAGTTATTTGTTAACAAACTGATTTTTAAGGAAATTCTGTTTCTAGGAGTAAAATGTAATTGTCAATGTTGAAAATCTTAACACGTTTCATAGGATAGGTTGGAAAGTCCAGGAGATTTGCAAATGCCCTCACTGGTCATGATGTCTTCTTGACCCTCAGAGTAACCATTAACTGAGTCCATGTGATATAGTTGTATTTCATGCCCCACTAGGGAATTTTATCTTCCTCCATTCTGATCGTGTAGTATCTCTCAGTACGTTGTCAGCATTATTCTCTTGTTATTGCTTAAAAGCTCCTGCTACAAGTTGCAAAGCACAAGCTTAATCTCCTGGGAGAAACAACAAATAAGACCAGTTTCTCAGAATGTTGGCAAAAAAGGTTGTAGCAAGCGCTCTGGACAGGTGATACAGGGAATAGGAAATCGGGCCAGAGGCTCAGGCTCCCAGCACCAGATGGCAGTGCCTCTGGAGCAGACACCTCACATATGGGGACTGAGTCAGGATTTCCAGGTTTGTTGCTGAAGTAGATGATTTCAGGAGGTGAGCGGCTGACTCAAGATCAGAAGAACAAGAATCAGTTATGTAGGTCTGGATGGAACCGAAGGAAAGTTTACCTGTATTGATTTGCTTTGAAATGTTAGTGATATTGTTTAATGTTCTTTGTTCTGGTGGGACTGTCAGAAAATCTTTCTTTTTAATCTAGCTATCAATTTAAGAGGACTTATTTGAGAAAATTGGAATGATACAACTTTTGAGGGGTGGCTTCTAATTGATCTCTCAGAATTCATGAAAAAAAAAAACAAACCCTTATGGGAAATCATGGATGTATTATAAATAAGTAAAAAAGAATAACTAAAGAAGGTGATTCTTTTGAAAATATGACATGATAATTCTTGTTTGAAAAACAATTGATCTAAGTGATTTTTGAGTTCTATAATTTTATGCCAAAAGATTAGTAGGATAATGTAAACAGAAACCAAATTTTCAATCATGGCCATGCCAGAGATGTAATAATAATTCAAGGAGAATGCCATTTGTTTAGATGCAACATTCCAAAATTAAAAAATAAAGGCTGTGTTTTGTACACAGAGATGATGTTTCCAAACTCTTCCTCTTCAACAGGTCTTTTGCTACTCTGGGGCTTACAAAATCCAGCCTTGCGGGTAATTCTGGTTTCCAGGCTTGGAGTGAATGACAAGAAAAGGAAATGAAGTTATGTTTTCCATGAGAAATATGGTGAGTAAATAACTTGAAGTGCTTTAAAAAGCCTCCTTATTTAGTATTTTCTAGTTTTAAACCCTACCACAGGATAGCATTATATATTAACACCATCAGTTTTCCCTCTATGAATAATATAGGCAAAATAGAAAAGGTTATCAAACTGATGTTTCTGAATAAGAAAAATCATTATTTTATCAATTCCATGCTTTCGTGGATGGCCACAAAGTGCTGGGATTGTAAATCTACTCTCTTGCCCTTAGCCTTATCACACATTTTGATGGGAGGAGAATAAAAAGTAGGCCAAAAAGAGCTTACATTCCTCAAAATCTGATATAAACAATCACTATAAGAACTTCTTGAAGTCCAGAAAAATTAGAGCATTCCCAAAGCCCTGAATTTTGAGATTGGCCTTTTAAGACAAAAGCATCTTACATTTAAATTGACTGAAGTTGTTGACTATACAATAGTTTGAGCTATAAAAACTGCTTTACCTCTTTGAGAGCCAGTTGTCTTGAAAGTCGGACTCCCTTGTGTATGTTTTTCTATTATTAGAAAACTTTCACTCAGTGCTCACAAGTTGTTTACAAATTTTTTTCTCTAAAAATATGAAATATTCTATCGCATGCCAAATAGTAGCAATTGACAAATACCTGAAACAGATCAGAAAATTTTCAAATTTAAGAAAAATTTTCAAACCTGCAAAAATCCTTTGCCTATGTAAGGATTATCACTTACAACCTTACTTTATGCCTACTAGAGGCTTAAGTTCACTTGGTAGAGGTAAATTGGACACGGATTATATTCCAATAATCTGTTCTTCAATGAAGAAGGTAGAGGAAGAAAATCCTGTTTTATCAAGTAGGAGATTCAAAGGAAACACTACATTTCCTTTTCATTCAAGAAGGTGAATTGATATCTTTATATTCATATATGATAACAGATAGCACTGATTTACTTTTAAATGGATATTTATTTAACAATGTACTTGCCTATGAAATTCATTGCATTTTGTTTATTCAGCAAAGTTTTCCTAAGTGTCAATTATGTGCCCAGCATGATCCTGTAGATCATGATATATCAGTGAGCCAAACACAAACCCCCACTCTTAAAGAGCTTGAATTTTAGCAGCTTGGAGTGAATAGAATCAACAAGCAAAGAACAATAATTATAATACATAAGTGATAGTATAATTATAATTGATAGTATGCAATATTATATCTAATAAATATTATAATAAATAATAATTTTGTAATAAATATGTAAACAGTTGGGTGTGTTATTCAGTGAGAAGATTGAGAAAGGGAAGGTGGAAGAACGCAGGTGGGATGTGAGTGCAGTGGGCACAGGAGGGTGAACATGGCACTCGAATCTGGTGATTTGAGTATGCCTCATTGAGAAAGTCATATTCGAACAAAAATTTGAAGGAGCAGAGGACTTTAACCACGTGAGTACCTGGGTGCAGAATATTTTAGGCAAGGGAATTAGCCCTAAATTAGGAATACAATAGTAGTTTTCAGTGAACATCCAGGTCACCAGTGGATGGAGGCAGCTTGCTAAGAGGGAGGTCAGAGACACCCTTACAAAGCAGACTTTTACTCTGAGAGGAAGGAGGGTCCCATTTCACTGGTATCTTAAAGGGAGCATTCTGCTGATGTGTTAAGAAAATATGACAGGTAGGTAAAGGAAGAGGAGGGAGAACTCTTAAGATATAATTACAGAAATCCAGGTGGTGACTAATGTGGCATGAATCATGGTGGTAGCATAGGATGTAGGAAGAATATACATAGTATATAATATTATAATATGTATTTATATATTATATATATATAGTTACATATAATTTGAACCCCGATAGTGTAAATACACTTTTTTAAATGACATATGGAACATTTATAATAATCTACTATAGAAATCACATGTGCAAGCACACACACACCCAACACACACATAAAGTCTTAAAAAGAACAACAACAATATATAATCAAGCTTGGGTTGAAGAGGATACAAAGTACAAAACTAAGGATTTAAATAAAAATAAACAGTGGAATGACACCCCCCCCAAATCCATGAAACACAGTTAAAACACTTTCTCAAGAAAAGGTATAGCAACAGATACTTATATTAATAAAATTTTAAGCATGAAAATTATTGAATGACACACTCAGGTCAAAGGGTCAGGAAATGAGTACTGAAGTAAATAAAAAATAAATCAGATTAAAGGAATTGATAAAAGTAAAACAATTTCTTTCAGCTTCAATGAGATAAATGACAAAACTGTAAAGTATTTAGTGTATACCTAATTATTGTGAAAAACTCCTCCCCACCTCCCCGTCTGGAGAGCTAATTAACATATCTGTCACCTCACATTTTTTAGAACATTTAAGTTCTACTATCCTAGCAAATTTCCATCATTTAACAAATTGGAAAATAGAAAAAACAATGGAGGTAATAAATCCATAAACTAGTTGTTTGAAGAAAATCAACAAAATAGACAAAATAACAGTTAAGAAAATTTAAAATTCAAATCCCAGAAAGAAATCAACTACTTTTGTGGGAGAAATAAAGAGAGAAGTTAATGCATAATAGAGAGGAAGTAGTTACAGAGTTCCCCCATAAAAAGTTCCAGGCTCAGGAAAAAAAAACGTTCCAGGTCCAAACGAATTCATGAAGCAAATCTAGCAAAGAACAAATAATTATAATGCAATGTAAATTGTCCCAGAGTAAAGAACTAAGAAGGAAAATATCTAAATTTGATATTATGAAACTAGAGTAACTTGGATCCTTAATCCCAGCTAAAATTACACTGAACAGAAAAGCTACAGGCTGATCTAAATTATAAATATTAATGCAGAAATCTTGTGTAAAAACACAAGCAAACAGTTCATTTAAAATAGAAAACCTTGGGACCAGGAGGAATTTACTCCAAGGATACAAGTGTGGTTTCAATATTAGGAAACCTAAAAGTATAATCTACTGTGTTGATAGAGCCTAAGGAGGAAAATACAGGATCACCTTCACTGATGCAGAAAAGACATGAGGCAGAATCCAACAGACTTCATGATTAAAACAAAAGCCAAAACGCAACACATCTTAATAATAGAGAAAATCATAGTTACTTCCTTACTACAAAGTATAGGTATAGAGGCCAAAGGGTGAGAATGAATTTTGTCTTAAGGAAATAATACATAGCTAGTGTATGTAGCTAGCTAAGGAAATAACATGTAGCTAATACTGGAGCTTCGGGTGTGCATGTGAAGAAATGAAGTTAGTTAAGTAGTCTGGGGAAAAGGGTTTGCATGAAATGTTGAGAATATTTTATTTTATCTTGCTATCAGGAAATCTGAATGATCAGTTTTGGATTTTGTGAAGATCGCTGTGTTCTAACGAAGATCAGTAGGCAAGGAGGCAGGGAGGCTGGTACAGTAATGTGGATCTGGAGAGTAGGGATCTGTGGACAGCGGCGTGTGGATAGAATTCCTGAGCACAGAGTAGGACCTTAATAAATACTTAATTCACAAACATACAAAATAACCCAAATAAAACCTACTGGTCTGATTTTATTTAAAAATCTTTGAAGATCTCACAATAACTTGGGATCAATGTTGTTGGTTACAGAAATTATTTTATAAGTACAGATTAATAGAATATTAAGTAATAGGAGTTTACTTCATGACATATCTTTTCTGTTATTAGGATATAAGATGTGGTTTCCTTTTTTGTGGATATTGTTTTCTTATTTTTTCTTTTAAAGATTTCTTTTTTTGAGAGAGGGAGAGCGAGAGCAGGGGATGGGGAGAGGGACAAAGGAAATCCTCAAGTGGACTCCCTGCTGAGTCTGATGGGGGGGGGGAGGGGGGGCTTGATCCCAGGACCCTGAGATCATGACCTGAGCTGAAATCAAGAGTCAGACGCTTAACTGACTGAGCCACACAGGGACCCCTGTTTTCTTGCTTTTAAAAAAATATTTAGACTGTTTTGATTTTTTATTTGTATAATTTAAATAGGTGCAGAAATAACAGGAAATAAACTCATTTAACAAACAAAGCTTATTGCACTTAGACAATGCCAAAAACAAAATTTATAGCATGTGAGAAAAACTTTTCAAGGGCACAGACTCTGTGACATGATTTTTCTCTAGCGTCTATACAGTGTTATTTTCTACATCCTGTATTTAATGACATGAAAGAAAGGAATCACAGACGCAGCTTCATATATTTACATTTTAAAGCCATCCTTACAAGAGTTAACACTTGTCACTCTCTACTAATAAATTCTCATATTTTTCTTTGATTATGAGCAATGTACGTAATTTCAGCTTCAACTTTTTCATCTCAGTGGTTTCTCTTATCATCACAATATTTAAAGAAGGCTGTTAGAGATAAATACAAGGAAGTATGCTATGAATTGTTAAATGATGATCTACATAGTAGAATTTTACGTGGGAAACCATTGGTTATATAGAAGTGAAGCAGCTTTGAAAGATGTAAAAATTTTGGCTAGGCACAGATTAAGTGAATTCCAATCCTTTACTTCATATCCTGTGGAAGGGTTCCAAAAAAAAAGGAAGATTGATTTATTTTAAATTAAAATTATTTTAAATTAAAATGATTGATAGTATTTTCAAGTGAATATTATTGATTCAGATTTTTAAAATTATCTGTGTAATATTGGGCTCCAAAAATTCACTGATTATTTTTATATTAATTTATTTTGAATGTTTGGGAATTGTTACTACTGAATTATATTTTATATATAAAGGCTCATTTCCTTATTGTCGTTCCTTCTTGGTTAATTAAAGAAATAAGTTTTTGAGCTCTGTCAAAATGTAGAGATCATCTAGTTCACCCAGCTCACGTTTTATAGAGTAAAGGAGCTTTCTGGGAGAGGGTGGGTGGCTGTCACCTTGAAGTTTCCAGTTGACTGAGTCGGAGCGGAGGATAGAATTGAGAAGATAGCCAGGGTCTCTGCATTCCTAAAGGAGGCTTTTACTTCTTTCTTATTTAGCCATCCATTTA